AAAGTTGAATGATTATAGGAACACAGCTCTAGTCCTACCAACACAACCAGAATTTCTAGTCCTGAGTCATTTCACACTAAAACCTTGAACCATTAGGTACCTGCTTTGTGAGAGAGAAAAGACAGATAGACAACTGGGTAAATCTTGTCATGGGCTGGGAGAAAAGCAAGTTATTGGTTTTTTTCAAGATTTTTCCCATTTTTCTTTATTATAAGTAAATACATGTAGATTTCTTGTTGGAATGTAGGAAATTTATTGCCTATGCTTTTAATCATATTTCCTTGGATTCTTAGACCAATTGAGTTGTCTGCTTCTCAAAATGCATGGAATTAGAATTTTTGGACTTTGAGACCCTTTTCACTTTTTAGGGGGGTACCAGGAATTGAACTCAGAGGCACTCGACCCCTGAGCCACCTCCCCAGCCCTATTTTGTGTTTTATTTAGAGACAGGGTGTCACTGAGTTGCTTAGTGCCTTGCTTTTGCTGAGGCTGGCTTTGAACTCAGGATCCTCCTGCCTCAGCCTCCTGAGCTGCTGGGATTACAGGTGTGCACCACCATGCCTGTCCAAGACCCTTTTCTTTTAAGTCTTTCATTATATAGCTAAGGAAACTGGGCTGGAGAGAGGTGTGGCTCTGTCCCGGTCTTGTTTGTCTGTTGAAGCCAAGAGAAGCCTCAGGGCTGCAAGCCTACTCACCCCTCTTTCTGTTCTTCAGTTGTTCTCTTCTGTTCCATGGGCCTTCTGGACAAGAGAAAAATGTTCAAGGCAAAAGGATTCATTTCTGGCAGCTTAGTCATGAACCATGTTTTGGTTCATGACTAATTCACGATCCCAAAAGTAGAGCCACAAGAAGTTTCTTTTGACCTCTAAAGAAATTAGTTCCCCACTAAAGAAAGAAATTGAAGAAGACCTTAGAAGATGGAAAGATCTCTCTTGTTCTTGGACAGGCAGAATTAATATTGTCAAAATGACCGTACTAACAAAAGCACTATACTGATTTAATGCAATTCCAATAAAAAAAAATCTAAATGATATTCCTCATAGAAATAGAAAAAGCAGGCATGAAATTCATCTGGAAAAATAAGAGACCCAGAATGGCTAAAGCAATCCTTAGCAAGAAGAGTGAAGCAGGTGGTATCACTATACCAGACCTTAAACTATACTACAGAGCAACAGTAACAAAAACAGCATGGTATTGACACCAAAATAGACTGGTAGACCAATGGTACAGAACAGAAGACACAGAGACTAACCCACATAATTACAGTTATCTCATATTAGGCAAAGGCACCAAAAACATACATTGGAGGAAAGATAGCCTTTTCAACAAATGGTGCTGGGAAAACTGGAAATCCATATGCAACAAAATGAAATTAAACCCCTATCTCTCACCATGAACAAAACTCAACTCAAAGTGGATCAAGGACCTAGGAATTAAACCAGAGACCCTGCACCTAATAGAAAAAAAAGTAGGCCCAAATCTCTATCATGTTGGATTAGATTCCCAACTTCCTTAATAAGACTCCTATAGTGCACGAATTAAAATCAAGAATCAATAAATGGAATGGATTCAAACTCAAAAGCTTCTTTTCAGCAAAAGAAACACTCAGAGAGCCTACAGAATGGGAACAAATTTTTACCACACGCACATCAGGTAGAGCGCTAATCTCTAGGATATATAAAGAATTAAAAAATCTTAACACCCCCCCCAAAAAATCCAATCAATAAATGGGCCAGGGAACTGAACAGACGCTTCTCAGAAGATAATATACAATCAATCAAAATGTATGAAAAAGTGTTCAACATCTTTAGCCATTAGAGAAATTCAAATCAAAACTACTCTAAGATTTCATCTCACTCCAGTCAGAATGGCAGCTATAAGAATACAAACAATAGTAAGTGTTGGCGAGAATGTGGGGGGAAAGGCACACTCTTTCATTGCTGGTGGGGCTGCAAATTGGTGCAGCCAATATGGAAAGCAGTATGGAGATTCCTTAGAAAACTGGGAATGGAACCATCATCTCACCCAGCTTTCCCACTCCTTGGTTTATACCCAAAGGACTTAAAAACAGCATACTACAGGACACAGCCACATCAATGTTTATAGCAGCACAATTCACAATAGCTAAATTGTGGATCCAAACTAGATGCCCTTCAATGGATGAATGGATAAAGAAAATATGGTATATATACACAATGGAATATTACTCAGCATTAAAAGAGAATAAAATCACGGCATTTGCAGGTAAATGGATGGAGTTGGAGAATATAATGCTAAGTAAAGTAAGCCAATCCCCAAAAGCCAAAACACGAATGGTGTGACTCTACTTTGAATACAACCAGAGACATGAAAAACTGTGCTCTGTTTGTGTAATATGAATTGAATTGCTTTCTGCTGTTATATATAACTAATTAGAATAAATAAAATTAAAAAAAAAATTTTAAATAGTCACTGTTCTCCACCCCAGCTGCCTGTGCTGTGGGTCCCAGAACCTAACTGGATAATGAAGCAAAAGAAAAAGGGAAAAGATAGGGACATGGTGCAAGAAGCCACAGCAGCATCTGATCCCATTTAGTTTTTGATCAAAATATCTATGAGAGGAAAGGGAGGGGATTGAGGGAGAAAAGCTCTAAAAATACCCCCCCAACACATATAAAAAAAAGAAAGAAATTAGTTCCATATCAAAGAACACAGACACTCCAGATGCACGAAAAGGGAAGCCAGGCCCAAGGGTGCCTATTGTCACACTGAGACCCACCAGGAAGGAGGGGAGGCTGGCTTCCTAGCAGGGATGAGTGCAGTACCGCTGTACCCGCCACAGTGGCAGGCAGGGTAACACCTGCAGGCAGTGCAGGGGAGAGGGTGGTGCTCAGGCCACAGCAGCATGTGCATCTATGGGAGTTCCGAAAAGTTCAGCAGAACAGCAGGAGCCAGAGTGTACATCATCACACAGGATGCCCTAGAAATAGAACTAGGGATCCCCTCATTTACAGGGCCAGAGGATGTAGTCATGGCTCTCGTTGAGAGTGACCTGATGAGCTACACAGCTCATAGATAAGAATAACCCACCCACCCTTTCCATCTTAACAAAGGCCAACTGTATGCTTGCAATTCAGACCTGACCAGATGAATTTCATGACTGCTTTTTCTGTTTCTATGAGGAATGTCATTCGTGTCCAAGAGAGTTATTTTCTGCACTGTAACACAATTTCGTCATGTTTGTTATACTGTCATTCCTATAGGCAGCAGCTATTGAAGGAGACAGTTTCTTAACTAAAGAGAAAAGGTCTTTTTACCTGGTGACACTTGTTCTGAGAGCCGGGATTCCATGAATGAAGGACTTTTTTCCAGGGATCACTTGAGTACAAATGAATAATGAAAACCTCAACCTTTTCTGTAATTAAAAAAAATAAACACACAACTTCCTATGATTCTTGGCTTTTTGGTCATTGCAGGAATCTGAAAGCATTTATTTTTAATGGCCAGTAAAGTGATCTTCTTGTTCTATTATCAGAGAAGGATGGAGCAATCGGGTCCTTATGAATCCTACTTGCTGTACTGGTATTCTGGTAACTTGCATAGGATTTCAAAATAACCCCTCAAATCAGGGTTAGGCCATTTAAAGGCTCAGCATGTCAATTCAAGGAAACTAAAAATCTTTAAAAGTTGTGCTTCTGCATTGCCTGCTGTCCGAACTCCCTTTGCTTTTTTGAACGCCGAAAGGAAACATTCACCACAGGTTTGTATTTCTTCTACTCTCCCTTTCTATGATTCATCCATCATGGAGTTTAACAACTGATCTTTTGAACTCTCACCAGCTCTAATTTCAGCACAAAGATTGCAACACGTTGATATCTGGCTTTTCCTTGGCATGGTCTTCCTTCCTGTTTTGCCTTTCAACCTTGAACGTGCTCTGATTATCTAGTGAGGCCCAGGGGTCAGTGTTAGAGTCAATTCTTATTTTTCCACAAAGGGTAGTCTTTACTCTGCCAGGCTCCTGACACTGGTGCTACAGGGGTGGGAACAGCTTCTAAAGTGCCATTAAAAATGTGCTATGGAATAGAAGTTCATCAGATTAGATAAAAGAGGAATGATGGGAAGGGAGGGGGTGGGATTAGGAAAGACAGTGGAAAGCATCGGACATCACTTTCCTATGTTCCTGTATGAATACTTGACCAGTGGAACTCCACATTGTGCACAAGCACAAGAATGGAGTCCTCATTAGGATAAGTTATGCTTCATGTATGTATACTATTTCAAAATACACTCTGCTGCCATGTATATCTAAAAGGAACAAATTACAAAAACTAAAAGAAATGTGAGTCAAATAAACCATTTCTCTTTATAAGTTAAAAAGAAAAAGTCAGTCAAGGCTAAAAGTCTGTGATTCTGTCATCATCTAAACCCATATACTTTATTAGTGCATAGAAGTCAACATTCAAATTTATTTAAATTTTAACTGTGTATATGATGACCCTCTGCATACACTGTCAAATCGCTAATTCATCCCTATTTCTGAGTAAATCCATTAGCAAATCTTTAAAGAAAAATGTGCTCCAGTGGCCGTGTAAGTCTTAACCACAAGACTACAAATGGCAGGGCCATTTTCATATGCTAGCAGGGTGGTAACAAGGGATCATGAGATGGTTACTGTCTTGGCGCCAACATCTGACTCCAGGGTTTGCAGTGATAGTCGGTTATTTTATTCATCTAGCAGTTATTAGTAAAAAGTGCCATGTGCTTTACTGGAATCTGGTTACAACAAGGAACAAGGCCAATTTTATCTTAAGAGATGTACAGCATTAAAATCTATTATAACCTGCTGTTATAAAATATTGAGCAAGTCCTTCAAAGAGTAGATAAGAGAGGATGTGGGAGAGAACAGAAGGGCATGCAACTTTATAAGGGAGGAGAGAAGAGGTCAGGAAAAGCTTTGTGGAGGAACCAATCCAAGTTGAGTATAAAGGATGAGAATAGCAAGTTTTTATTTTACCCCCCCATGGAATTGGGGTGGCACTATAGAAAGGAACAAAGGAGGAGAATCCAAGGCAAAAGAGATGCAAGCACAAAGACAGAGGAGCCAAGAATGGCAGGAGGTGCCAGAAGCTAGGTAAGCTATTGAGTGTTTCTGAAGCCAAGAGCAGGAGACAGGGTAAGGGATGAGCAGCATAAGGAGACAGGAGCTCTCTTGGGAAGGTCGAGCTCGACTTGATTCCCTTAGCGATAACCTGGGGATGCAACAGAAGAGCTGGCTCAGCATTTTTAACATGCCCTTTCTGGGACTATGAAGAAGATGGATTTGCTTGTGATCAATGTCATCTTAAAAGGTGACACTCAAAAAAAAAAAAATCAAACACAATTCTCCAAGTCAATCATATTTAAGGGAACAGGTAGAGTATCTAAGCTTCCTTTTTTACAGGCTGAATTACCTCACTTGAGCTATGAAAAGACCCCACCCTCCCTGTCTGTGTGGCCCTCTTCTCTCCATCCCCTTCCAATGGATTTGTGCCTGAACAGAAATGGGGTTACGGACGGCAAGGAGAGCAGCATGGGTCATGATGGTGTGATGAATGAGCTCAGAGCAAACTGTGGGTGACAGGTGTCTCCTGAGCTATCACTCACAAGGTAGGTGATGAGCAGGGAGCTTGTTTTGTTTTTGTGTCTGTTTTTAACCTGATATATATGTCACACATACATGAGACTTGCTCAGGGACCTGCTAGCCTAATGCCTGTGCTTCCTGGGTTAAACCAGGCAGTGTAATTAATCTAAGTGTCAATGTGGCTTCCAGAGATGCCTAACTGATTCCCACATCATGGCTCATAACACTGGGAGCTTCTGACTCATAGAAAAGACAGCCTAAATTCTCACCATCCGTCTCCTGCGTGGCATTCTTGTTTGTTCCATTATGCCCACAGGCTTCATGAAAAACACAGTCTGTAAAAAATGTACCTTGAATTCACTTACAGTTACAAGTTGAGATAGGTTCCATGCCAACTGATTGCCTCTTTTCTGAATAACAATTTAAATTCCCACCTGTGAGACTATCCTCGTAGTCAGATTGCATGCTAAAACCAGGTAAGCTAAAGTTAATCATAAGAGGTACACATAGGTTGGGGGACACGTCTGGTCACTGCTATCAGATCGGGTTTGAGGCCATTTCTCTTTAGTGTCTTTAATGTTAAGTTAAACATGGTAAAAAATGAAATTATTTTGAAAGTCTTAAGTAATGAGAGATCAACCATAGCATTGAGAAGTAGTGAATGTGTCAAATAAAATTGCTGAAAACATGGAACACTGGACAAGGAGTCCCCAAACATTTAGCTTAAAATAAACAAAGGCACTGTACAGTACATGTCCACAGGGCTGAAGAGGAATGCAATGCATTTGTACAAAGTTCGTGAGGGTGACACTTGGGAGAACTAGTCTTTAATGTCCCTGAAGTCTACAAGTGTCCAATGAAGGGTTTGGAGGGAATAATCCTAAGAGTCAAATGATTCTGTGAAAACATGCAATGGGAATGAAGAAATGCAATGGGAGGGAAGAAAACAGAAGGGAGGAGAGGAAGAGAAAGAAGAGAGAAAGAAGGAACAAGAGAGGTCTTGAGCTAATACCATGGTGGTTTAGTCTAGATAATCACTTATTCAGATCCTTTGTATCTACAGAAGTAGGTCACCCCAGGACCCATGTGAATCAATTCTTATACAGTGTTGGGTCTCCAAGGGCAGGTTGGTCATCTTCTGGAGAAATCCATGATGGACCATGTGTTAGAGCATGTGAACTGCAATGACTCACACCTGGTATCTGTGCCTCTGTACATCCCCCAACATTGACCCTGGACTTGGCCATAGGGATTGGCTCAGTCATTAGGATATTAGCACATGTGCAGAGGAGCTTGTCTTCAAGAAAAGTTTCCATTTCCATGTGAAGAAGTCAGACTAGACCTCTTGACAACTAATGACCACCTGTAGGGAGAGGCCCTGTCATTCCAGCCTGTCCCAGTTCCAGCTACTCCATAAGAGTGAGCCCAGGAAAGACCATCAGAGCAACCACTCAGTTGTCCTCAGACTCATGAGAAATATTCAATTGTTATTATTTGGAAGATATTTGTTGTTTAGCAAAAGATACAAGAGAAGATCAAATCAGAAGACTAAAAATTTCAAATTAAGAGAATATTTATTAAATCCTAGAGTGTGTGTTCAATTTTACAGACGAGTCCAACTGCCTCTGTGACTCTGCCCCATGAATTTCCACCATTTTCTTACCAGTATGATGTAAGAAGGGAATTTAAAATAAATTTTACGTTAACCATTGGGGTTTGCCCATATATGAGATAAGGGGAACAATACAGAGCAATGTTAGGACAAATTTTGGTGTTCAGGTTAGATTTCCTTCCAGGACATTCCTTGTTTGGAGAGTTGGTTTTGGGGTTGTAGTCAGAGACTCTAAAAGAAGCTGAGCCCAAACAAATATATCTAATTGAGGGCCAAGAACTGCTGAATCTCCATACATGACCGACTCAGTTGGGCCTGGAATCTTCTAAGATTTATGAGGCTGTTCTATGCCTGGACAAGTGAGATGACTGAGTTGGCGGACAACCGAGTCAGGTAATTGCTTAATAAATTTAGCAGTAGCATTGACACAGGGTCACCTCACTTGGTAAGAGGCCCCTAGCATTCCAGAAGGATTTCACAAGCCAAAATTTCACAATTTTTCTTACATAGGCTCACATTGCAGGGATCAAAGATTTATACCATTGCTCGGCATGAATGATATTCACGCAAGAAAAAAAAAAAGAGAAATAATTGTTGGTCACTGGTTAGCTCACATGTATTGCCCTCAAATGCTAGGATAATTTAGTGGTCCTACAATGCAGTTCTGGAACTTTCTACCATATTCACTTAAAGCATGTGGGCTAAAACCGTTCTAGTGTTTTTTTTTTTTCTTACACAGGCTCTCCTTCTCCTCTTCTGGCTAGTGCTGAAGCACAGTGATGCCATCCATCAATGTCTTTTGTACTCAACCTCTTCCCTCCATTCCTGCTATCCTAATTGAAGTCCATATTACCTTGATTTGAACTGTTCCCCCCTGGTTTAGACTCTCTCCTTGTCCACACACTGTCAAATTAATCTCCCTATCACACAGCACTCTCTGCTAAAATCTTGTTAGTAATTAATGGAAAAAAGTCTTTGACTTTGGTCTTAAACGTTTCTAGCTTACCTCCGTCTAGTCCCAAGGCAACCCACTGCTGTGGAAACACCATTCGAGGGTGTGCTGCTTACTGCCAAGCATGGCTGAGATATGTGGGATCCCCCCACTTCCTACTGCTGCTTGTCCACGTCAGAGTCCTTCTTTAAGATTCATCAGAAACACTGTCCACCATGGAAACTACCCATCCCTCCAAGCTGATGTGCAGCTTGGTCTCTGCAGCCTCTATGGTAGTTATACTTCCCACCCTTTATTAAAATGATTATAATTCTTTTTATTCACAACATTTCCTCTTTTTTTTAGGTAATATGCTCATTTCCATCAGCGTCAGATTCTTTTCATTATGCCCCAGAGATGACCTGCAATTACTATGTGCTCGATGAACTAAAACAGAAGCAATCATTCATTTCCCTTTCACTTCATCCGTGGAAGCTACACACCTGTAGGTTTTAAGTACACTGAACGGATAACAAAGGAAACAGGAAGTTGCTCTCTCAATTCTGTTCTACATTTATTGCCCTATTAACAAAAAGTTTCATGACAAAACAATTATATATACATATATAATTCTTAGGAAAGACTCTGATGAGTTAGATCAAACAGAATTCCATGCCAGCTGCCATACCTGTTAAGTTGGACCAAGAGAAATTAAAAAGAAAATTCTCTCATGAGCATTTTCAAATCATATAAGAGCTGTGTCTCAAGCATGCTGAGCTCTGATTTAATTTGCAATCAGAAATTTGTCTTTAGGCTTCGCTATTCATTTGTCATGAGAGGGTTAGAAAATAAAGAAGTCACACAGGTCACCATCTAAAGGAATTTACAGTCTAGTTGGGAGAACAAGAACAATGACTGTTGACTAATAATTTAAACTGGTGTTTTGCTAAGATTGTAAGACCAATCATGTAAATGATCATTGTTCTGGATCAGAGATCTAGAAATGCTGTATTTCAAAATGCAATATTTACTCAAATGTGTATTACTCACATTGTAGGGATGACAGATTTATACCACTGCTCGACATGAATGATAATTTGAAAAATAATAAAACTTGCAGAAAAAAATAAAAATAGAGGCATGTGATTCTGTGACAGGCTAATAATATAATCTTCATGAGATCACCCCCTCCTTTCATACAGAATAACATCCCATCTTAAAACATTCAAGTTACCTCAGTCACCTGTGGAGTTTAGAAAATTCCACAAAGAATATTTCATTTCTTAAGCTACAAAGTCACTTAGGCTTAATTTCTAAAAATGGGTTCATCCAGACCATTCAGGGAGGCACTGTTTCTTTCTGGGCTAGACCAAATTTAGATTAATTAATTTATTCAACAATGTACTAAGTACTTAGTATACACCAAGTACTGAGCCGGCTCTGGTTATACTACCATAACGAGGCAAATTTCAATCCTTCCTGATACATGCATTCTAATAGCCAGGGATGATGGAGCACAGGATGGTGACAGTTTGGGGCAGCAGAAAGAGCTTTGGACGAATCCCAGATCTGTGCCACCACTGTCCAGGTTACTGTGTAAACCTAGGCAAGTCACTGAATTGCCTTGTACACAAGAGTTCTCATTTATCAGTTAAGATCAAAAGGACTGAATGAAGTAATAGCTTGAAAATGCTTTGCAAGTTAATCTGTACAGATTTATGGTGTTATTGTTTATAGTACACTCAGAGGCCTAGAAACCATATCTGACCTTGAAGGGTCTTCTCTTCAGAGTCCAGCTGGGGAATATTATTTAAAAAGAACAGTTGAGATTTGAGTCTTTTATTCTTGGGCATTTAATTTGACTTTTTAAAAAAAAGTCAATCTAGGAAAGCTGCTAACTCTAACCAGCAATAAATTTCATGCTTTAAACCCAGTATTCTTGTTCCTCCATTAAAATTTTTCAAAATAATTTCAGCGTCAGGTGGATTCTTCTCTCCGTGTCAGCCACTCCCCTCTGAGAAAGGAGGTTGGATCTGAGACTCCCAGGAATGTACCCTTCAAAGACAAGGTAAAGCTCATTTGAGAAACCAACTATGTTACATATTTATTTGGTTAATTCTCTTTGTTCTCTTGATTTTTCTGGTCCCTTCTGTCCCTTCTCATCTCCCCCTTTCTCTCTCTTCCTCATTACATTTCCTTTCTTGGTCAGAATTTGACCTGAGAAAATACCTGGGTTTGATTGGTTGTCGTGGCCTTCCCTGACTGTCATACTAAAAGGCATCACAAGGCCCAGACCTGGTTTTCTGGAGCCAGACCCTCTAAGCTGGGTGTGTGACCTGCAGGTCTTCAAATGTGAGCCCACGGCTGTGAGTGCAAGAGATGGCAGTGCAGTCCTGTTCACCTTCAGCTGACCTTGAACCCGCCCATCCTTGCATAGCTCGGGTCTACCTCACCAGGAGAGAAGGGTGCTCTCTGTTCAGAGATAGCCTAGAGAGTGACTGTCCCTACAGTCAGGCAATAAGCTAGTTGACACAGTGTCACGACCATGCCAAGATTGCTTGTCAGGAACCCTTTGAATTCTTTTATTGCTTGATAAGCCACTAACTTGCTCTGTGGTAGTTAAACTTCCTTCTCCATTTTTTTTTCAGCTGCAATATAAGTCTAGATGATGTCTAGATTCCTCCTAACCCTAAAACATTGTATAATCGATTGTCTTTTAAATGAGGACTTGTGAAGATATAGTGCTCACTCCTAGTGAGGATTGGCCAATGTGGCCAAAGGGATCAGAGTCTGCCCTCTCCAGATTTCTCTATTTGTGGAGCATTATTTGTCGTTTATCAGCCATGTCTTTCCGCTAGCAGGGACACTGGATGTTGAATACATTTCCCTGTCCTTTAAATACCCACAAGCCAATAAAACTCAGCTCCAAGTTAAACAAGAGCCCTTACCCTTGAGGCCATCAGCTGGTTCTGGCTCACACCTTACATTTAGCATCTTTCTTTGCCCAAAGGTGAAGTCTTCAGGCAAATGTGGGGAAATGCTTTGGTGCAGATGGCTGGGGCTCTAGGAGTAGGATTAGAGATACCCCCAAGAAAGAAAGTAACTGAGGACATCTGGGGCCACTGAGTGTGGTGGGAGGTCACTGGGGCCAGAGAGGAAGCACCTTCCTCCATTAAAGGGCCAGAGGAGAGGTCCGAGTTTCATAAGCAGCAAGCAGCCCAAGGAAGAAAAGCGGCACAATCGACATAGAGGGAGCATCCCAGACGCCCCATTCCCTTCCTGCCCTATTGAACGACAGGCTGAGCTTGGCCTTCTGGACTACTTCTGGTCCCTTGAAGAGCAGAACCAAGAAGATGAACACCTAGCCTCATTATATTTTAGAAAAGTCCAGGGCTGCATTATTACCTCCAAATTCCTCCTGACCAGTTAATTTTGCTTCCATGTATTTATTGGTTCTCAACCTTCACCCCACACATTAGGACCTTTTTGGATGCTTTGAGAAAATGATGATATATGTGCACCACTCCATCCCAATCAAATAAGAGCACGTTGGGGGAGTAGACAAATGTTTAAAAGTTATTCCTTAGGTTATTTTAAAATTTGCTCGAGAATGACTGTTGTACTTAGTTGTAGTCAACCCATTATAAAAATGACATGACTTTGCATAGATTTTCCATATTAGAGAGCTGTATTTAGGAAATTGAAACTTAGTTCTGAATCTAATCCAAGGAGGAGATGAGACTTTTTTTTTTTGGTACTAGAGATCGAACTCAGGGCTGCAAAACCACTGAACCACTTTCCCAGCCATTTTTATTTTTTATTTTGAGACAAGGTCTTGCTAAGTGGCTTAGGGCCTCCCTAAATTGCTGACACTGGCTTTGAACTTGTGATCCTCCTTCCATAGCCTCTGGAATAGAGTCGCTGGGATAATAGGTGTGTGCACCATCCCTGGCTGGAAATGAGACTTTGATAGTATTACCCCTGGTAGACCTACTTGAAGTTACCAGGGAAGATCCAAGAGTCAGAACACTTTGGGGACCTGCTTCTGCTCCTTTCCCAAGGTTTGACCTGGAGGCTATTGAAAGCCTTCTCCTATGCCTTGGAGTAGAAGTTGAGTAATTCCTCCCCTAAGCCCCAGATCAGCAGTTCTTCTGGGCCACAGGGTTTCACCACTCCCTGCAGAAACACAAGAAACTAGAAATGTCTTCCCAGCAGCCCAGAGTGGATTTGGAGAAAATGATTTCAGGAAGGTAATTCCTGGAAAAATGGAGTAATCTCATCGATTCAAAGGTGACTTCTCTTGGTGTATTTATGAACATGAAGAAATAAAGACCCACACACAGAGGAATATAAACAACTCAAAATAAAATCTAACTGCTGGCAGAAAGCAGAAGACATAGTGGATCCTCAATGCAATTTTTTTTTTCATGATTGATGAATTGAATGAGATGTATTTTGAAATCTGATCAGTTTTTGGAAGTTTAAATATTTTTGTATTTTTTCTTTCATATCTACCCCACATTCACTATGCAACAAATGTACAAGTTACTTCTTAAAGAGTTAGAGTGTTTTGATGCTGATAATAAAACATGACAGGAAAAATATTGCTTCTTATCCTATTTTCTTTTAGAAAGAGAAAATATGAAGGTAATTTACATTTTCTGGAAAAATTAAACATAAATCGACCTATAATTTGGAAAAGGTGCCAAGTGGCCTCTTTTACCTTCCTGGCCTTGGCTGCTTGCTATGTAGCACAACTCCAGGAGGTTCTTACACCAGCAATCTCTGGTGCTTGCTCTCCACCCCCAGTTGTACAAATGTATGTTGTGTGACGCTACGTGGCAGCTTTGGGCAGCGGGGCTCCCAAGGAGCATTCCAAAAAGAATGTCAGGGAACACACTCATTAAAATGTGGGTTAAATTCACAATAGCTAAGCTATGGAACCAACCTAGGTGCCCTTCAACAGATAAATGGATAAGAAAATGTGGGACATATACACAATGGAATATTACTCAGCCTTAAAGAGGAAAGAGATAATGGCATTTGCCAGTAAATAGGCAGAACTGGAGACTACCATGCTAAGTGAAATAGGCCAATCCCAAAGAAACAAAGGCCAAATATTCTCTCTGATATGCAGATGCTAATATACAACAAGGGTGGGGAGGAAAGAATAGAATTTATTAGATAAGACAAAGGAATGAGGGAAGGGAGGGGGTGGGAATAATGCTTATATATGAGTACATGACCAGCGTAAGTCCACATCATGTACAACCACAAGAATAAGATCATAGTTAGAATAACTTATACTCCATGTTTGTATAATATGTCAAAATACACTCTACTGTCACGCATATCTAAAAAGAACAAATAAAAAATGGTTTCTACTGGGCACGGTGGCGCATGCCCATTATCCCAGTAGCTGGGGAGGCTGAGGCGGGAGGACTGCAAGTTCAAAACCAGCTTCAGCAAAAAAAAAAAAATGAGGTGCTAAACGATCCAGGGAGACCCTGTCTCTAAATAAAATACAAACTAGGGCTGGGGATGTGGCTTGGGGATCGAGTGCCCCTGAGTTCAATCCCTAGTACCCCCTCATAATGGATTCTGCTGTCATATAACTAAAAAGAACAAATAAAGAAAAAAATGTAGGCTCTTTGCTTCATATCCCTTACTACAAATAAATGACAAATTAAGAATCTTTCGTATGTAGTAAGTAGATATCTAGTCCCCTCTTTGAACACTAGCAGAGGAGGGCAACGGGGCACCCCTGAACACACGTGCTGGTGACACCAGGCTTCCTTGTCTCTGATTCACCAGTCTCCAGCTCCTCTCAGCAATCCTACCCGCCTTCTTGCCCACACTGCGTTCTTGATCACAGAGAGGGGGAGTATGTTCTGGCCAAGGGAGGGAAACTTGGTTGAGGCATCTCAAAGAAGTAATAGACCACTTGATTTTTTTTTTTTTTTTGCGCAATATAAAACATTCTAGCTGGGTGTGCTGGCACACGCCTGTAATCTCAGCTACTTGGGAAACTGAGACAGGAGGATCTTGAGTTGGAGACTGGACTGGCAACTTAGTGAGTCCCTGTCTCAAAATATAACAAAATAAAATAAAGGGCTGGAGATACAGCTCTGAGGGTGACACTTGCACTGCATACCCAGAGCCCTGGGTTCAATCCCAGTACCGCAAAAAATAAAAACAAAATAAATAAAACATTCTAATCAAGCCTCCCCACTGAAGAGGAGATAGATAGACAAGTGACAGGGAATGAAAATGTGGTAGAGAAGAAGGGGGGGAGAGAAGTGGAGAGGATGGAGAAAAAGCTACAGAAATAAGAGGAACATGGAAGAGACAGGAAAGAGGCACGTGACAAGAAGGGGACGGTGAGGGAAAAGGAGAGAGTCTAGGGTGAAGGACTGCACCATCTATACAGCCGCATTCACCGCATTCACGGGGCTAACCTTCATTCACTGACACTCACTGAGTACCCAGAGGCCTAGCCAAGGCACCGGGTAGGACTCAGATGTGCCTGTAGGGTATAGTCCTTGGCATCGAGGCATTTACAAATTCAAAAGGGGCCTAAAATACACACACAGCAGCAGGGAGCCACGCTGTTGACTCTGCTGTCCCCCAGTCTCATCACGGGGCCTGGCGCCTACCAGGCATTCATTAAAGTGTTCTTGGGTGGGTTCATTGCTAAATTTTGACATTTGGGCTGTAATCAAGGATGAGGTGGGGACAGGAGAGGGAAGCAAGGTTTTTCTAGAGAACGATGATTGAGGGGTAGGTGGGGGTTTTCGTAAGCCAAGCTGTGGGGCACGACATTTTAGACAAAGGGCACCCTGTGAAGCCACAGAGTCTGTGTGGGTTTAGGGCTTGGAAAATACCAGATTATCTGAATGTAGGGTTTGTGTTGGAAAGATGATAAGACCGAGAAAGCTTAGTGTCAGATTGTCCCTGTCCTTGAAAGTCAGCAAGCTGTTTAGTCTTTACTCTTTGCTTATGGGCAGGGATGGGGGCGCGGCAGGATACAGGGTGTTTTAGCAACTGAGTGGTGGTCAGAGGTAATGTTGTAAAAGGTTAATTTAAAAGTTGCATTCAGACTTGTCTGACCTGAAAAGCCTGGAAGAGAGTTTCTAAAAGCAAGATCTGCTCCCCCATCTTTGATTCCACCACCTGGAATCCTTATTCAAAATGTAGGTGCTGAGGCTCCACAGATACCAAATTTCTTAGCTCTGGGGTAAGGTCTGAGGTCAGTTTTTAAATATGCTATTCAGGTAATTTTCCTATATGTCAAAGCTAGCTAAACCATACCTGTGCCAGTGAGGAGGTACATTAATTTGCCTATGCCGTGTAACAAATCAGTCCACATTTAATGGCTTGTTACAACAACACTGTACTATCTTGAAGTTGGCTGATGGGGAATTTGAGAATGGTGGAGTTGAGTCCATCTCATGAATTTGCAATGAAGCAACAGGCCAAGGCTGTAGTCGTCTTGCAGCTTGCCTGGGGCTGGACGAGCCACATCCAAGCTGGTTCCTGTGGTAGTGGCTTCAGTGCCTCTCCAAGTAGGTCTATCCATGTGGGCCTCTCCATGTGGGCTCTCCACAGGACTGTGCATGGGAAGGTAGCTGACTTCTCTCAGAGTGAATGTTCCAAGGGTGTGGGAGAAGTGGAGACAGAGAGAGACAAAAATGGGGGGGGGGTGTGCGCAGAGACTGACAGACCAAAGCAGCAGCTACAGGGTGATTTTTAATCTAATCCCAGAGGTGACATACCCTCACTTCTGCCATTGTTCTATTGGGCACACCTACCAACCCTAATACAAAAAGGAGGGAGCTATTCAAGGAAGTGGCTTCTTAGAGGCTGGGGTGATTGGGGTGGAGCCCAGATAAAAAGGGAGACAAAAACTATAGCCTAGGTTTGAGGTGGTAAAAACGTAAAAATATAGTATGTGGTGTGAAGTGACACGAGCCAATGTGTTTGAACACTTGGTGCATGCCAGGAACGGGAATGAGTTATGCACTGCTACTCTCTCTGAGGTTCAGAGAGGTTAGTAGCACGATGAAAAAGTTGTTATAAAAAAGGGTTTGTAAGAAGATGGAGAGAGAGACTGGGTGTGGAGAAGGGTAATGACCTGTCATCAGTGTCCTGTGGGATTTTTATTGGTTGATGAACCAAACACCTTTTGCAGTTCAACTGTGCCATCCAGGAAGTGCTAGGATTCTCTGTTGGCTGGCCATAGCAGCGGACCAGAGACAAATCACACTCCAGCTGAAACCATCCCACAGGCCAGCATTTAAACACCAGATCTTAGACTAGAAATCTTCACCTGATAGGACTCCTAGAAATGTTCCCATACAGCTGGGTCTCATTTTCTAGTAATGTGAGTACTGATCTCTGTTCCAAGGCTCTCTCCAACTTTGAGCATCTTCTGTGGTCTGGAGGTTCTGGGAACGAGAACATATTTTTTGTTAGCGCAGCAGGTCTGGCTCCTGAATAGATCAGGTAGGCTGTGCAGAGCTACCCCGTCTCCCTGTTTATTATTACTTTTCCTTTCAACACGGCAATCTGGGGCTCCCCAAATCTGCCATTTTTCTAAAACGTCCTCCGACCTTTCCACTCTGCTTCTGCTGGACTGTCCTTCATAAGGTTCTTATGCTGTCAGCTCCTCCGGCCTCTCAGCCCACCACCAGACCTGCTGGAACTGCGATCCACAGGATTCCTTTACCTTCTTCACTTTCCTCCAGTTTTTTTCCGTTGCTCCCCCTCATTCTGTTGCCTTCAGTCTCCAGATGTCCAGTCTTGGTCCTCCTTGATCTTGTCCTGTAAAGCCACGCCTCTATTGACAAAGGTCTCAGAGTTTGATAATTTACTTAGTGTCAACAAAAGTGGGGAAAAAAACCCAGCAGAGACGCAGGACCAGAGCCTGAGAGGTGAGCCAGCTCGGCCTGCAGGACCCAGAGTAACCAAACAAGGCCTGCCCTCCTCCGCAGCTCCGCCTTGCAGGATGCCCAGGGCTCAGAGTTGTTGCAGGGGCTGGGCCGCTGTATCAGTAAGGTCCGCGGGCGCGGAGGGCCTTCGGGACAATCCAGCCCAGCTTGCAGACGCCAGCTCTAATGAACTAAGAGGGGAGGGTGGTGGCAAGGGCCGCCGCGGACCAGGACAGCTGTCCCGAGATGCTGCAGGCTGCCAAGCCTTGCCGGGCGAGTGGCCCTGGAGCGTCTCCAGGCGCCCGGGTGGGGCCGCGAGCGCGCCCAGCCAGTCACCCGGACTAGTGGGCGCGGCGGGAGGCAAGGGCGGGCCGGGCCAGGGGCTGGACGCCGTTCGCCCTCTCAGCCTGAGTGTTTGTGCAGCCAGCTGCAGGGCTCGCCGAGCCTCGGCCTTCTCTCCTCTTTTCCGACAGCTTCTGGTGGCCCACCTGGACGTGGCGGTGCTCGGGTCACTCTGCCCAGGCGAGCCCAGGGCCCTAAACAGGTGGGTGGGTGCAGGGGTGCGGTAGGGGACCCGGGAGAAGGGCGCGTGTAGAGCGGAAGCGGGTCCTCGAGGGGGAGCGCGGGTGGTGCAGGGACAGGGGCAGGCGGGCGGCGAGGCCTTGGTCCCTGCAGCAGCCGGCCGCCCTTCCTTTTGGTCCCTCCTCCGCCGCGCCGGGGCGGGCTCAGGTGCCTAGCTGAGCCGGCGATCGCGGCCCGGCGGGCGGCGGGTGTCCGGTGTCGGGTGTCCGGTGTCTGGAGCCGCCGGCTGGGTGAGCGGCGGTCCCCGAAGGTGGGGTGCTTTGGATCGAGGCAGGGAGTCTTTAGGGGGAAGATGGGAGGGGACTTCGGTGTCCTTCTGGGAAGTTCTGGGATCCAGGCGGGGATGCGGTGCCGAGGGGTGTGCTCACACGCACGCGGCGCGCGGTTACGCAGGCGGGGAGCAGGGCGCTCCGCGGGGGTCCCTGGGAGGGTCTGGGCTGGTCCAGTTTCTGGACTTGAGCGGTAGCGCCGCGCCGGCGCCGGGGCAGTGGTGGTCTCCCCTGGCTGCTGCGTCCTGGGACCCGCCCTCACGCTGACGCCCAGCGCCTGTGCAGGCAGTTGCTCCCCAAGACCAGCCTCGCACAATCAGTGGGTGAGGCCGAGAGGACCGCCTTTGCCTGGAGACCTGGGCACAGAGCGCCGGGGACCGGTTTCAGCTTCCGCCGCACTCGCTGGGCACCCTTCCCCGTGCGTCCGCACCCAGGGGCGCCCCCGCGTGGGGCCCTGCTATGTCGCCTCCCTGAGTCCTTGGGACCAGAACGCAACCCCTGTCAGCTGGGCTGTGACCTTCCTCAACCTAGTGAGACCCCTGGGGGCTCCTGACCATAGGTTTATGGGCGACCAAAGGCGTCACAGTTTGCAGTTTTTCCTGAGTGGTCTCCCTTCCTGAGAGTCTCAGAAAAGTAAGCCTAGCACCTGCCTCTTCCTAAACTTAGATTCTCTTCGCCTCCCCAAAGGTTTTCTTGTTAAAAAGAAAATCTTTGATTGCTTGTGTGTTAGAACAACTTGGACCCAATATTTGAAAATGGAATTAATTAATGGGGAGCATATTTGGACATAGATTTGGCATGATTGGAGTTTTCTGGGCAAATCTGTAGGTACAGTAATTTGACATTTCTGAAGAATGGTGCCTATTTACAAAAGCCAAATTGCTGTTATCACTCTTAATTCATTTTATCCTCAAAAACAGCCCTTTTGCAGATAGACTGGTAAGATAAACCTGAGTAAGAGAACTGAAAGTCTGAAAACAGACTTGGATATTAAAAATAATTAGAATTAAAATTATAAACTGCCCATTTCACAACGTTTTTATGATTCATGCTGTACCTCAGGCCTTTTTTATTTTTATAGTGTAGGTCTCAGAGTCATTGAAAAGACAATGTATTGTAGGATATTGTCTGTGGAAGGTGTGAAAATCAGACCAGATGGATGAGTAGCCTGGAAGACTTAACTATTCCTATGTATGACCCTTTAGAAAGGCGCCTTTAGAAATGGACTTTTGGGATAAAGAGTAGGTGTGGACTTGTTGCTGCTCATTTCTCTTCTTTTAAGAAAAGTGCTGTAGAAGAAGAAAACCGAGTTAGATGAGCCTTTCTTTTTATTGGATCTCCAATAACTGGACATTTGCTACACTGAGTGTATCAGAGAGGGGAAAGTCATTCAGTGTGAATCAGTGTTAGCAACTGCAGCTTGTCCTGGGAGTGAGTGAGAGAGGGGAAATCCCTGGTTTGTTAATTTCCTCATTTCTGTTTCCTGCACCCTGGCTCCACTTATCTTGATAATTTCTCACTAGATTATATTACATAATCCAAAAGTTATGAAGATTCCCTGGTTGAAATGACCTTCTGATTTCACAGGCAGAGAAATGGAGTCCAAGGACCCAAAGTGACAGCCCAAAGCTACCCAGCTCATGAGAGGCAGAGCTGTGCCTCCAGGCTGGAGGGCTGTGGGTTATAGGGGAAACCCTTGGGGTGGGGGGACAGTTAATTTTCACCAGGGCCAATCAACAGCCGCAGAATGGCAGGCATACTCAACAGCCTGACCACCCACAGTTGTCAGCTGGGTTGTCTTCCTGTTCTCTGAGGACAGGAGGAAACCAGGGTCCTCTACTCAAGATTAATTGAGTTCTGGTAGTTAACTGCTACAGGACTATATAGGAGTTCTTCTCACACATGAGGGGCTAGACCCTTTGTGCTGCTCCCAGGGGTCTTTTGGAAGGGCATGTTGGGGAGGCTGAGTACCTGGTAAATAAAGGCCCACACCTGGGCTGATATGGCAGTGCTGACTGAGTGGGATGTTTCCTGTATTTGGCCTTTGCTAAACTTCTCGACAGTTGACCTGGATGAGGCCTCTGTACCATCTTCCTCATCTGTGAAATGGGACCAAACTCAAAGGGTTGTTGTGATGATGAAGGGAGTTAACACATGCAAAGCTCTCAAGAGAGTGCTGGTACTGGAAGTGTTTGTTTTGTTAACAGGAGTACTCTGGGCAGGGGTGAGGGAGCAGTGTGAATTTGGCCCTTTCACAGCGTTAGACTTTAACTACTCATCCCACCAGTAAGGATTCACCCTGCGCAAATTGGGAATCAGGGCAGAAACCTCAGACCTCATGGGCCCTTGTTTTCTACCATGTTTTATTTCTGTGGGAGTTGACCATTGCAGTCATGGCTTGTGCCCACATAAGGACATTCCTGGAATGTCAAGGGGTTATTCACTTTGGTTTCTTTCCACTTTATCTTGGAGCCTTGGAGTCAAATGTGCCAGGGAACCAGATTCTTTCTGTGAAGGAAGAGTATCCACTACAAACCTCTCTTTTAATTTTCTATTCCATTTGAATTCTCCATGCTGCAGGAGAATATAGGGTGCAGGTAAGTGAGAACAGTTATAGCTTCAATGAAGGCTCTTGCTATATTAGTGAGTCAGTGCTTTAGATGCAAGGTACTGTAGTATCCACCTGTTGAACATGCTTATCTCAAGCTCTAAGTCAAGTAGCAACTTGGTAAGAAGGAGAAGGATGGGAAGAAGGGGATTCCCAGGAGATGAGAAGAGCATTAAAAAATCCAGCTGTATGAATAACAAAACAAAAGAAATAAGAGGAGCTGAAACCATTGTGGTCATGACATAGCCAAGTGGCCAGTCTCAAGTTTAAGAGTGCTTGGACTTAGTATGGAGAAACAAGATATTTGAGAGGGCAGATGGTGAGATTATTGAGGTACTGTAAGCACCAAATTTGTGGTTTCTTAGAATGTAGGTGATTATGAAAAACTGTACTAAGAGTTTTATACTATCTATGACATGGAAACAAATGTCTTTTTTTTTTGTTTCAAAAAAGGAAATATATACATGATTTCTTTTTGATGATAAAAGTATAAAGGGCTGGCATTTAAAAAAATTCAATCAAACAGATATGTGTAAAGTAGTTTAAGACCTAGTGGAATTTCTGCTGCCTAGTATTGCCTCTGAAACCAATGTGCATGCATGTTAGAGTCTGTGACTTCTTTCAAAAGAAGATTTTATAAATCAAAGATCCTTTGTTATAAACCTAGTGACTTCATTGCCCTACTTTACCTGGTCTGTAAATTTAGATTTTATTAAATTAGGTTATCTGGAAAAGGTATGCCTAAAACCTGGTGACCTTCCAGAATGGTCAAGAGTGTTCTCTTTTGCACCTGTACTGTTCTCATGGCTCTAGTAGGTTGTCTGGAAACTAGATTGTCCTTTTGTGATGGCTGAAGTATTTATTTAGTGCTATGTTCAAGGGGAAATGCAAAAATTGCATGTGGTCTAACTTTTATTATTTGTACTTCCTTGAGCACAGCTGTTTTGATTTGGTTTGGGGTGAATCCGTCTGTGTGAAATCTCAAAAGTGGCATTTTCTTTTGAAATAATTTGTTTAGAGAGAGCTTTTTAATTTCTTCCTGTGACTTTTTTTTAAGTTCTTTTTTTTTCAGTCATACAATTGGTGGTTTGGCAGCTCTGATGTAACAATATGTTTGCTTAGTTGGGAGAAGGCCAAACCTCTGCTGAATTTTTATTTCCCTGACCTGTATAAAGTTAGTTTTTTTTTTTTTCCACACGATATCTTTGGAAATTATGGGGTAAAAGTTACACAAACTCTTAACACAGATACCTCAACTTTCCTTCTCTCCTGGAATGAGAAATGGTACTGTATTTCTTCCAAGCTTTGTTTATAAGCCTGCCACTGCCCTGTCGTCACATTTTAATGCGACCCAATTTGGCTTGTTGCTCTTTGCAGGTTTTTGCTAACAGCTGCGAGGAGACAATTTGCTGAATTCCTGTCCCACTCAGTGGGGATTTCTGGACCTTGTGCATTTCTGAGAGGGTCTGTGGACACCTCTAGGTGCCAGCCTGGTGGAGGTACACCTGTAAGCCATCTGCAGGAACTCTTGCCACAGGTGTAAAAGACTCCCGCACTGCAAAGATGCTGAGACAGATACTGTCAGAGATGTACATAGATCCTGACCTCCTGGCTGAGCTCAGCGAAGAGCAGAAACAGATCCTGTTCTTCAAGATGAGGGAGGAACAGATCCGACGATGGAAAGAAAGAGAAGCAGCCATGGAAAGAAAGGAGTCCTTGCCAGTGAAATCCAGACCAAAGAAAGGTAACCCTGACCTGGCAGCCTCTGCTGCGAATGTGTTAGCTGGGTGTCTGAACGATTCACGCCGGTCAAAAGCTCTCCTGGTGTGAGCTGTAATTTGGTGGGTGGATGCTAAATGTTGAAATTCTGATAGTGTGATTTATCAACTTGAAACCTGCACCCATGTGTGAGCATGTGCACGCACACACACACACACACACACACACACACACACACACACACAGCACTTACCATGGAATTGTATTGTCGTAAAGCAAGTCTCTTACTGAAACCAGACTGACCTTAAGCTGCCGTTAAAGGTCACTCCTAGGGACTGGAAGTGTTGCTCTGTGGTAGAGCAGAAGGCTAGCATGTACCAGGCTCTGGGTTTTACCCTCAGCACTGAGGAAAAAAAAAAGTCATCCCTATGGTGTGATTTGAGGGTTTTTAAGAAAGGACCCTGTCCCCTGTCCCCCTTATTGTGACAGAGGCCTAGTATTCTACCATTAGCATACAAAGTACTGGTATCAGCATCTTTGTAATATCTGTGTTTGTACTTCTTAGATCTCAAGAATTTTTTTCTTTGAACTATTTTTCAGGAATGCTTCCTCTTAAAACGTAAGGAATGGCCTTGAGGAAAAAAATATCATAATACTATATTTTTAATGTGAGTGAATTTTTCAAATGTACTGCTTCATGACCAAGGACTCCCTCACAGTTTTGGAAGTTCTTTTGAGACCTTGGGAGAAGTGATTCTTTGTAAGTTAAGACTTAAAGAGTATACATACGCAGACACAGAGAAGCACACACTGCTGTCACCACACAGATTCTGTCATGCATGAATACCTACTTTATTTAAAAAAGCACAGTTTTCAAGGTGACTTACAGAGGCATTCAAAACCAACTTCTTACCATTTTTTATTAAATTAGAAAAGGTACAGATATAAAAAAAAACACTTAGCATTTCAAGCGTTGAGAAAACGAGGCTCCCTTGCATGCCAATAGATGCACAGATTCAAAGTGAAGGTCAGTTCAGTGACCTTCACCTTATGCTGCCCTTCACTAACTCTTTTTCAATGAAGGCTTTATACTGATTAGGAAACAAATGCGAGTATCTCATTTGTTATTATGTTAATATAATTAATATAGCACTAAGTAAACAGCATAGTACCAGCTCTTTAACATACATTCTGTCTAATCTTTACAACTTTTTTGCAAAGTTGGCATTAATTGTCCATTTTATAGGTAAGAAACTCAGGACTCAGAAAAGATAAGTAATAGTTGTTAGGTCACCCATTCATAGATGCCCAGCTCTGTGGATTTCACATTGCACTACCCCAAATAGAATTTTTTTTTCCTTCAACAAGTAGCACCGACAAACTGAAGCTTAACCCCTTTGTCTTTCTGAACTGGTTTACACATCTCCTTGCATTCCTTAGCTAGAGTTTAGGATGTACAGCTGGGCTTCTTCTGCACATCATGTCCACTGGGAACATAATTTGTTGGTACAGTGAGTTTGGGCCTGGAGAGAGCTGAAGGGCTCTGACCAGTGGCTGGACCTTTTATTTGGGGCTTCTCATGTTACGGAATGACTCTCCTTGTGATTATTGAAGACAATAGTGTCAGTTTCTTTGCTTTAATTTCTCCTTGTAGAGTTTCAAATCTATCTGTCAGAAAACCTGTGTTATTTTATTAGTTAAATGGCCATGAAAAAGTGTGTTAATAAACACAGTGAACATTGTCAGTATTTCATCTCAAAAGTTTATTACCGCCTTAAATCCTTTGACACTTGGAAAAATGTAGTTGGCTTTAAATCGGTGCCTCTTCTGACTCCAGAAAAGGGAAAGGTTTCTCCCACTTCCCCTAAAAACACAGCAGTTCTCTTTCTTTTTGCTGTGCTTTTGAGAATAAAGCCACAGATGGCCCAAGGCAGTGTCATTGTGCCCAGTGCTGCCTGGAGGTGCTGTCTGAGTTGCAGACCTACTAAGCCTCAGGCCCTTATGTGCTGAGACCACCCTGAGCCCCCCTCCTTCCTGTCTGTGCTCCCGGCCTCCTGGACCTGCGTCAGCCCACCTTGCACGGAGTTGAATGCTATTTTTTCTTGGCTGTTTGGAGTCAGGCTTTGGCTTGGTGGAGGCTGCACTTTTCATCACAGATATCCTGTTCCTGCCCCCATTTCGTTACATCATTCTGTCCATCAATTAGCAGGCTTTCATTATCATCTGGTCTTTATAAATACACAAAACACACAGCCTGTATTGCGAATCATGGGAACCTGTCTACCACTTAGTAATTCGAAGGCTTAAGTAGAAGGGACTGAAAAATAACCAGAAGTATGGATTCAACCAATAATAGAGCAGATCACTGCTGATTTCTGTAGTGAGAAAACGTGATTCTTATAGCAGGAGAGAGTTGTGGACCTGCTGTGCCTGTTGGAGTATAACTAGATATCTAGAGGGGTGCTGTGCTGTAGTATCAACAGGAGCCACATGTGGCTGTTGGTCACAGGGCATGAGTCTGTGCTGTAAGTGCTAACTACCAGATGTTAAAGATTTGGTAGGAAGAAAATAAAAAACACATTAATAGGGCTGGGGCTGTAGCCCAGTGGTAGAGCGCTTGCCTCTCTGTATGAGGCACTGGGTTCGATCCTTAGCACCACATAAAAATAAATAAAGATACTACGTGTCCATCTATACTCAAAAATATTTTTTAAAAAACACATTAATAATTGTATATTCATTATATATTGAAATCATATTTTGGATATCCTAGGTAAAATAAAGTGCATTATTAAAATTAACTTCACCTGCTTTTTTCTTTTATGTAATGAATGAGGCTTGCATTTGGACAGTATGTCCCTAGACTCTACGAGCAGCCCCAGCCAGCATTTATTAAGTGGCTGCATATGAGACTCTGAGCTGAGTGCTTCAATATATTATCTCATTAAATAATAACAACCAAGCCTGAAGCATGAATTGCTATTTACATTTTATAAATGAGGAAAGTGAAGCTCAGGCCCTTTAACTAACTTGCCCGGGGCAAACAGCTGAGAAGTGAAGGCTAGAATAGACCTGGGTCTGATTCTCCCCATACTGGTACTATGAACAAATGTGCTTCATGTTAATCTTAACCGGGGTTTAATGACAGTTACTGTTGTTTGAAGGTGCATGTGTCTAAAACATATGCTTGCATTGGGGACCTGCCATGGAGCCTTTTTCCTGTGTGATTTTTTTTCACTATTTATTTATTTATAAGAATTTTTGGAAAACCTGTATTGTAGTGGTATAACTATGATTTTTTAAAATTTATATATGACAGTGGAATGCATTACAATTCTTATTACACATATAGAGCACAATTTTTCATATCTCTGATTGTATACACAGTATATTCACACCAATTTGGGTCTTCTTACCTGTACTTTGGATAATAATAATCATTACATTTCACCATCATTAATAACCCCCATGCCCCCTCCCTTCCCCTCCCACCCCTCTGCCCTATCTAGAGTTTGTCTACTCCTCCCATGCTCCCTCTCCCTATCCCACTATGAATCAGCCTCTTAACATCAAAGAAAACATTTGGCATCTGTTTTTTTTGGGATTGGCTAACTTCACTTAGCATTATCTTCTCTAACTCCACCCATTTACTGGCAAATGCCATGATTTTATTCTCTTTTATTCCTGAGTAATATTCCATTGTGTATATATGCCACATTTTTTTAAATCCATCCACTGAAGGGCATCTAGGTTGGCTCCACAGTTTAGCTATTGTGAATTATGCTGCTATAAACATGGATGTGGCTGTGTCCCTGTAGTATGTTGTTTTAAAGTCCTTTGGGTATAGACCGAGGAGAGGGATAGCTGGGTCAAATTATGGTTCCATTCCCAGATTTCCAAGGAATCTCCATACTGCTTTTCATATTGGCTGCACCAATTTGCAGTCCCACCAGTAGTGTCTGAGTGTACCTTTTTCCCCATATCCTCGCTAACACTTATTGTTGTTTGTTTGCATAATAGTTGTCTTTCTGACTGGAGTGAGATGAAATCTTAGAGTGGTTTTGATTTGCCTTTCTTTAATTGCTAGAGATGATGAGCATTTTTTCATGTATTTGTTGATTGATTGTACATCATCTTCTAGAAGTATCTCCAGTGTGATTCTGTCCAGAAACAAAGAGAAGACACAGTCACTTGGCAGAGGGTTTCCCAGCACTTGTTTGATTGAGTGTCCATCATGAGGGTGGGATCTGGTCATTGCTCATGGTGCAGGAGGGTCTCTCTCATGTGCCCTTGTGACAGATGAGAAAATTCATTTGTCGGATTCTTAGTGTTACCAAAGGCAAGTTCCTTTATTCAAAGCCTTCCTTTTTCTGAAATAGCGACAAAGCCATAGGTTTATGCCACCACCACGGGCATTGCCTACTCTTCCCTTCCCTTGGCCCTAGGGTGTTCAGTAAGACTGCAGCGTCCCCCACTGCCGGGTTCAGTTCATTGCTGGGTTCAGCGTCCCCCTCTGCTAGGTTCTAACAAATCTAGCAAACAATGGGGAAAGCAACAGTTTTAAGTCATTTCCAGAAGTCCCATAGCAGCTGGCCTTGGCCTTCATTAAAATGAGCACGAGGCTAGATGGAGCATTTTGCATCTCATCCTGCCCTGTGGGGATAGGAAAGAAAAGGATGACCGTGCTCAGCCTGCCTGCAGAATCCTGTTCACATTTGTTATCCTGGTGTCCCTTTTGGGTGGTCCCCTTTTGTCCTCAGGGTTTCCATTTGGACTACACATTACAGGACCACCCTAAACTCAGGTTTTGCAGTCATGGACTCTGGTTTTTGAATTCTTGTCTCTACGCAGTGCCGCTCAAGTTATTCACTTCCCTGAGCCCTGTGCCCTTGTGGTAAAATAGAGTTAATAAGAGTAGGTATTTAATGATGGAGATGGCATGGGTTTCAGCCAGTCAGCATGGACATGGTCATAGCCCTGGGCCCCCTGCCAGCCTTCATGCAGCTTTTGATTTCTGGATCAGTTGCAGGTGGGGCGGGGGCGGGGGGCTACTGGACAGGACCGAGTGATGGAGGATTCTACATGGGACATTGGGGCAGCAGCTTACGGAGGGATCTCAGTATTTCAACAACCTTGTTATTGGTAGGTATTCTGCTCATATTGCCCTGGTAGGGCCCCCCTTGTATTTATAGTCATCCCCCTTAACTGTAGGACCTGAATTTAACCAACTAGGATTGAGAAGATCTTTTAAAAATTACATCTGTACTGACCATGTGAAGACTTTTTTTTGAGTCATGATTCCCTAGACAATACAGTATAACAACTATTTATGCAGTATTTATGCTTTATTAGGTTTTATGAATAATCTAGAGAGGATTTAAAATATACCAGAGGGTGCATGGGTTCTATACAAATATTGCACCATTTTATATAAGGGACTTGAGCATCTGTGGGTTTGTCCCTTTTAAACATTTCTTTTATTTTTTCGTAGTGCTGGGGATTGAATCCAGGGCTTCACACATGCTAGGCAAGTGCTCTGAGCTATATTCTTATCCATTTATGATTTTTGTGTCCATAGGGGGTCCTAGAGTCAATCCCCCATGAAATAATGACTGTAATAGTAAATATGTTCCTGGGGCACTATAGGAGGCTGTTGATTCTCTCTGGATTCTGTTCACCCAGTAGCTTGTCTTCCCCCTGGGGAACAGAGGACACAATCCTCTCCCTCTGTCTGTCTTCCTCTCTCCCCTTTCTCTCTCTCACACAGATTCCACGAGGGTCCTCCTGAGCTGCATCTAGTCAGGGTGGAGACCAGGAGCTGACTCCCTGCAGCGCATCCTGCCTTCAGAGGGCCCGAGCTTGGCCTTCGCTGCACACTGATGCCCGAGTCTCTCCCTCCTGCACCCCTGCTAGACCTGCCACACGGGGATAAATCAGACACGAGGGCATTGTGAGCAGTCTCATGCTGTCATATAGATGGAATATTCCTGGCCACCCCACTTTTATGTCACATTTTGTAACATTGCTTCCTTAGAGGTTTTGTGTGTAGCTCCACCTCTGACTTGAGAGACCATTTCCCGGCAGAATATGGTGTGGATACTTGCCTCTGCTTGGAAGTTCTTTATGGTGTGGTACTGCGCAGGACTGATCCTCTTTTCTAGAAAAGCTGGTTAGAGAAGATGTTTTCAGGAACCTCTGAGGTGGCCACATCCCCCTGACTTCCTCCCTGGCCTCCTTACTCTCTTCCTTTCCAAAAACTCGGGGACAACCCCTGCCCATGTTTCCCATGCCCAGAGATCTTTCAGCTGACGCTGCTCCTATGCTGTGCTTTCTGCCCCTTAGTTCGGCAGCACAGTGCCTACGTGTAGTGACATTAACTGAGCCGAAGGCTGACGTTTCTTCCTCTCCAGTGATAGACTTCTCCAGAGCACACAGCCATGGCCTGCACCAGCTCTCTCCATCCTCCCTCCCGCCTGAGAGGCCTGTCCCCCTCCTGTGGCTCTGAAACTACCTTCTCCCAAGTCAGAGGCTGTTGTGATCCCCTCCTTTCCTCTCTTGGGTATCCAGTGGTGGCTTCCCCCAGTCTCCTTCTACGTTACTTAGTTATTTGGGGACCGGGATCCTCTGCCTTTTACGTTTGTTTACATGTAACCAGGGCTCTCTTTCTCCCCCTTTCCTTCTGTTCCTGATGAAGCGCAGGCTTTTCCAAGCTTCCCTCTGGACTTCATCCTCTTCGTGAACTCTGCTATGCCAGTGGCTTCGCTGATAGCATCTATAAGGTCATTCTCAAGTTCATGCTGTCTCCCGCCTTCTCAGCTCCAGAGGGAGTCCAGACGTCTACTGGATGTCTCCACAGAGATTTCTAGTAAAACAAAATGTTATCCTGCATTTCCAAACAGCTCCTTATTTTGTTCCCCAACAGATAAATGTTCTTGATAGCACTGTTTCTGGCTACCACCCTCCCGGCTGGAGCATTTCAAAGCTCTGGCATTATATTTGAATCCTTCCTTGAATCCAGCCACATGGGCCGCCTGTCCTTTGTAAAATTGTCCAACTAGAAAGTGAGTCCCTTGGGGACAGGGACTGGTCTTTCTTGTCATGAGTGCTCACTTGCCTCTCCCTCAGTGCCTGGCGTGTGTAGGTAGGTAATGAAAATTCACTAGGTAAATAGCCTAATCCTGGTCCTTTCCCCCTCAGATTCTAGGTTTCTTGCAGGAAAACAGACTCGTGTGTGGGTTTCCTCCCGGTATCCCCTGCAGCATCTAGCTCTCCTGCTTGTTCATAGTAGGAACCCAGTTTCTGCTACATGGAATGAGTGACCGAGGGCAGCCACCTTGATTGGCATCCCTCATCTTGGTAGGAAGCTGAAGGTGTTGGTAGGAGTTGGTAGGACACCCATCCTGCTAGAAGGACTTCCTCACCCTGCAGCAGCTTCAGGGAGTTGAGTGACACCCTGGAAGCTCCTCCAGTCTCTTTGCTTTCTGAGCCCCTGGAAGTGATGAGTTGGAATAGAGATCACTGTCAGTGCCGCTCTGCTGAGAGCCCAGTTTTGAACATCTGGCAAAATCTAATATTTTACATCTACTTCTCTTCCTTCTTGCTCATGAACCATTACTACTACTACTACTACTACTACTACTACTACTACTATTACTACTACTACTACTATTACTACTACTACTACTATTACTATTATTTTTACCATACTCTTAAGACTCCCCTCCTTTTGAAATTCCCAGACTCTAGTCCTCTACTTTGCCTCTCTTCTTTGCCTTCAGTCCCTAGGCACCTTTCCCTGCTCCCCTGTGATCCTAGATTTCTTTCTCCCACCTCAGAGCAAGGACTTCTTCCCCATGAGTTGTTGCTTCTGCCTGCAGCCTGTTGTGCTCTCCGGGGGCTGGGTTTGGGGAGAGACTGTGAGGGCTGTCCTAGCTGAGCTGCAGAATCTCTCAGCTCTCCCTCTTGGCCTCTCTTGGCAGACTGCCACTACCCTCTTTGGGTATCTTCTGCTGTCAAAAAAAATATTAGTAGAGAGTTACTTGGGTGAGGGTTGAGATGCGGACATCGTAAAAATATTATTAGTTGCCCCGAGTGGGTGTAATAAAAGGAGTTTTATGAAGTATGACGGCTTTCTAAGGTTAATGAACCATGAGGCATTTCCTGAAGCATCCGGAGTGCTTGGGCTGGCACTCCCCCCCCCACACAGGGCACATGGATCCATCTTCCCTCCCTTACCCGGGTACCACCGGCACTGTTGGTTCACTTGTGAAAACAGTGTCAGGGCAGTTTCCTGCTCAATGATACTTTTGAATCCTTTGGTAGAGAAGGGTATAGGAGTCTGTCCTCCACCCTACCAAGCGGCTCTGTTTAGAGCTTTCTTAGACTGCAGGCAGCATCCTTTGCCCCAGGAAGAGTAGAAAGTGCCAAAATAAAGATGGAGTCTGCCTTTGAGTAGCCTGCTTTTCTGAGGTAATGGTACAAAATAAGTCAACAACACAATGAGACTGTAACTGGAAACCTTCTTCCACTGGGTGTAAGAAGACAGTGTGGACTTCTGACCCTCACAGCATGGCTGGGCTTGGTCATGTTTCCGATGGTGCCCTCCCTCACACACTCAACACCACTGAGAAGTTTGGGGTCTTGTCTAAGAACAACTTTGGACCACACTATGATCCGAGGAGGGCCATAGACTTAGGGACTGTACCTCTTGGCTGGTCTCTAGGGTCATGCCCAGTGTGGGCATATTTCAGGAGCACAGGAACTGGAACATAATACAACCTGTGAGACCAACTGTAAGCAAGGGTTGTTTAAGTCTCTTCATCAAGTGTCACACTGCCTGGTGGTATCATCTTCTCACAAGCTGGTGTGGATCTTGAGGCAGCCGTATTAGTAAATAATAGGCTGGGTGGCAGCATTTAACCTCTATTGAACTCCTATTATGTGGCAGGCACCAGGGGAAGGACTTGGCATCCCCAGCCTGCCTACCTTGCACAGCAATTCTGTATAGTAGATGTTGGTCTCACCATTTGTAAAAGAGGAAATAGAGTCTTCAAGAGATTAGTGTGTCCAAGTCACACAGCTGGTGAGTGGCAGAGCCAGGATTTGAATGCCACTATCTAACACACCAGTGAAACCTATGAAGACACTAGAGGCCCCAAACCCTTGAGCATCTGTGTAATTTGGGGTTATAGGGACTGTACCTCTTGGCTGGTCTCTAGGGTCATGCCCAGTGTGGGCACATACTTAGACTTCGGAGGCTATGGTACCTGACAGCAACTGTTACCCTAAGGATAAGGCAAACCACAAATGCTTTTTACCATTCCTGCAAAATGGGCATGTGAAAAAACCATGGCCATAATATTTTTAAACAATTGTGACAATGCTGCTACTCTGTCACTCCTGTCATTGCTACCCATGAATGCTGCTTATTCCTGAGCAGGTTGGAAGCATTTGCTTTATTTGTCCCCCCCCCCCACACCCCCACAAAACCCTAAATACTTTACTGATTGGGGAATCATAGTGTCCCATGATTCAAGGTATTTATTCAACCCACATTTTGTCTCATTTGCAGAGAATGGCAAATCTGTCCACTGGAAACTGGGAGCGGACAAGGAAGTGTGGGTCTGGGTGATGGGCGAACACCATCTGGATAAGCCCTACGATGTGCTCTGCAGTGAGATCACTGCTGAGAGGGAGCGGCTGAGAACCGAGCAGGAAGCTGAGGAGCTCAGGTAGGAGATCCGCACGCCCCTAAGAGACTGGCTAGGTGTTAAGACGCTGCAATGATGCTTCTTGCTCACAGTGGCTTCTGAAGATTGTAAGCATCACTTTTGATCTTTCTGGAATGTTTCTGTAGATGTTCAGTGGTTCCCTTCATTCCCACAGTGCTGTCAGATCAGGTGCTGCTGATCTGCACGAGGATGTAGGTTCCGAAGCCATCAGCGGAGGCTTCACTGGGGTTGTGGTGGAGCAGTGCGGGCGCTGTGGCTGAGTGACAGGAGGTTGAGAGGCTGTTCCGATGTCAGGCCTTTGAGGAAGAAGACTGCTCAGTTGCAGGCAGCTGAGTGCTCAGGCCCTTTTGGTCATTCCACTGTACCAGGCACTGGGAATTCAAAGAGGAACAGGGAGCTTCCAGTGTAGGAGGAGGCACAGGCTGACACACCACCACCTGCAGCCGATGCAGGCCACGCTGTGAGCTGTGGTTAAGGCATAAACCAAGAATTAACCAAGCCCAGGAGGAACCTGTCCTGACCCACAGAGGAGGTGAAATCTGACCGAGCCTTGAAGGATAAGTTGAGTTTCCAGCTACAGAAGGTCAGGAAGGAAGGTGAAGGTGGAGGGCATAATCAAGATCCCCCACTTGACTTTGAACGGCTCTTTGGGGAATGAGTTCTTCTGAGTGCTTGGGATGTACCTGGGTGAGTAGAGGGAGATGGAGGGCCTTGCTCTAGGGTGCCTCGAAGGCCCCTTGGATCTTCTGTGGAGAGTGAGGCCGTTTTGAACACGCATTGGCACAACCTGGGGAACCCTGAGGCAGGCGGTGATCCCCTCTGCCAGGTGCACAGGGTGGCCTCTGGGAAGCCACCCTCTCTTGGTTGCCTTCCCCTAGCTCCGGGCAGTGGTGTTAATAGCCCAACTGAGTTGGTAAAATGGATGTTGGAATAGACGCGAGGACCTCAGTTCAGCCCCCAAAGGCTGATGACGCCATCTGCCAATCTGTGGGACATTAACACATAAATGCACAAGGGAGTATTTGCCGACTGATCAGAGCAGGGCAGTGTCCTCTTGCAGCCTGACTTCTGAACCAGGAATTGGGCAGACTTAAATTTAAATCCTGGCTATGCCACTATGTAGTCTTGGATGAATTATAAGCTTTCTTTGAGCCTCTTCTAACAAAGCAATCCTTCCTCCCTGGGTTGGTACAAGGACTTAGTTTATGTCTGTAAAGTATCTAGCAAGAGGTCTGGCAGATTATAAGCACTATAATAAGCAATCTGTTACTGTTTTTCACATAGTCTGAGTGTAGACATCTGCTTTAGACAAGCTGTCCACGTTGAAGGATGCTTTTGATAATTTCACTTTTGCTTCTCTTCAGAAAAACTCAGTCTGAAGAATTCACCAATAACTTGAAAACAAAATCACAGTGCTCTGATCCGCAAACACCAAATAACTGGAAAACACAGAATGCCTGCAAGAAAGTGGCAGAAGAGGAAGAAGTGAGGCAAGAATCCAGATCAGCACGCATCCTGGAAGAAAAGAAAACCCAGGTGAGTCTTGCGTGTTACAGATGTGCAGAATTCCCAAACTGGGGGAGATGTAGGTAGGTACTGGGGCCACTAAGATAAATGTAGCCATGCATCAGGAACTTAAACCGGCTTTCTTGGGGAAAACACCTCCCACCTTTCGGGTCCTGCTATTCATTTCACTGGGGGGATTTGTTTAGCTTCTGTTTCATGAAGAAGGAATAAAATGAGGTCTTCCAGGGTTTTCTTTCCCTGGTGTCTTCTACAATAGATGTCCTCAATTTTTTTTCTGTAGAAGTCCACATAGCAAACAATGTAGGCTTTGTGGGCCCAATAAGTGCTGTTGCAACTATACACAAATGAATGAGCATGGCTGTGTTCCAATAAAACTTTATTAACAAAGACAGACAGAGGGCCAGACTTGGTACATTTATGGTTTAAATGGTGTTCTGTTGAGTCTTTCCCTTTTTACTGCAGACTCCAAATCTCAGTGCCTCTTTGGCTTCCTTGATTCTGCCTCTGATTTCAGGGATAGTTATTTCCCCAACACAATAGAACTTTTTACTCAGAGCTGGTATGAATTCTCTTATGGCCCAGGTGGTTTAAAAAACTCAAACATAACTTGCTGCTTGGATTATAGTTTGGAAGAACAATAAAACTCAATTTAGGAAGTACTTTCTTCTGCTAGAAGTTTAATTATACTGAATGTTAACAGGGGATTTGCAGTTGTTTGATTTCTATTTAGTCCCTAGCCCTGCTTCACTGTATGCTCTTGAATTCTGTGCCACAGTCAAATGGGGATGTGGCTATCTGTTCTGACTACTTCTGGGTCCTGGTAATACTCTAATAATTAACAGCAGTCATGGGTGGTTATAACTGAGTGTCTCATTGGGTCCTCACAGCAGCAGTCTGAACAGCATATTGCCCATTTTACAGGTGAGGAAACTGAGGCCAGGTGTGGTTCAGCAACCTGTCAAAGGTCTTATTCACCCCCAGTTCTTCAGGATCCCCAGCTCATTCTGTAACTATTAGCTCATGTGTTTGATTGTCTCACTAATATGAGGAGCATGAAGATGCTTTATAAAGAGCTACAGTTGTGAGGTTCAGAATATTTAGGAGTACAAAATTCTAAAATTTGTGCCTGTCTGCGGGTCAGTTCTGGGCACTTTCCCCACATTCCCAGTGAGGCACTGGAGCCTTTCCAGGCCAGGTTGCTGTCAACATGTTTAACATCAGCCTCCCCTCAGGTAGCTTCCTTTCTGAGACCCACTTGCAAGAAGAACAAGAGCAACCACAAAAATCTCCTTCAGGAGCTTAGGGTAGGCCTGCTTAGCTTTATGCTTGAATGAGCATTTTCCTAGAGATTTTTTCAAAAGATTAAAATATAAACTAAAATAGATACCATGGTTATTATTCTTGAAGCATGTCATAAAAATTACAAGGAAGGGTGGCACTGTCCTATCCCTCAGATATCTGTCAAACTGTCATATAGAAAGAGATGGGGCAGGGGAGAAGGACACACTTGTTAGGCACAAGGAACAGGGAACTAGATGGGTGACAGGTTTTACGTTTCTGCTTTTCATCTTCCCTTGGGTCAGAGAAGATGCTCTTGGGGTCTCTGTGATGTTTGCTAAGTTTGCTCTGACAGTAGCATGCTCGAGGTGGCAGATGAGCTTTATGGCTGGTGTGAGCATTTAAGTGTGGCAGGCCATCTTCCACCAGTGTGCAGTCCACTTAGTAACACACTTATGCCTTTTATAAGCCCTGCCTGTGTTGAATAGTGTCCTCCCCAATTCATGTCCACCCAGAAACTCAGAGTGGGAGCTTATTTAGAAATAGGTCTTTGCAGATGTAATTAAGTTAAGGATCTCAAGATGAGATTGTCCCGGACTCAGGGTGGGCACTAAATCCAGTGGCAGGCGTCTTTATAAAAGAAGTGCAGATGGAGAGTTGAGAGACAGGAACACAGGGAAGAGGCCAAGTGCAGACAGGTGGAGTGCAGGTAGGCTCCACCAAGCCAAGGTCAGATGCTGGAAGAAGCAAGAAGGCTTCCCCTGGAGCACTTAGGAGGAGCGCAGCCCCTGCCGACACCTTCATGTCCCACTTAAGGCTGTGGGAGTGTGAAGAATAAGTATCTGTTGCTTTAAGCCACTAAGTTTATGGTAATTTGTTGCAGCAGCCCTGAGAAGCTAATGCAGTTCCTTTAGTACACCTTCTCAGAAATGTTTCCTCATGCGATCTTAGTTATAAAATAATGAAGCAGCAACCACTTTAGTGAGCCTTTCTGAACTATGAGACACCATTTGATTCTGCATCCTTCATCTACCACCCAGCCTACCTGTTAGGCAGAATAGTGGCACTGACATCCATCCAGACTCCTAGCCCCTGGGGATGCATTGCTTTCCATGAGAAAAGCAACTTTGCCTCTGTGGCCTTAAGATGGGAGATTACCTGGGTTCATTCCAGTGATCCCAACTGGCAGAGTCAGAGGGAGATGTGGCATAGAATAATGGCCAGAGAGATGTGATGTTGCTGGTGTTGATGGTGGAAAAAGGGGTCAAGGAAGTCAGGCAGCTTCTAGAAGATTAAAAAAGCAAGGAATCAGGTTCCCCTTCAGGTCTCCAGAAGGAACACAGCTCTGCTGAAACCTTGGTTTTAGGCTAATGTGAGATTTCCAGCCCACAGAAATGTAAGATCATAAATTTGTGTTGTTTTAAACCACCATATTTAACATAATTTGTACCATGGTCATAGAAGGCTAGTACAATTTGGTATAATTTAATAATGAACAGATGAAACAATAAGTACAAAGCACTTATTTAAATGCCTAACATATATTAGATATTTAGTTAGCTCACTTTTCTCTCCCCTCTTAATTAAACTTTTAAATTTAGGCAGTGAGGAAAGGATCCCAAGATTGATTGACTTGCTCCTTCCTTTAAAAAGTATTTTAAAGCTAGCCACGGTGGCTACAAAATACTTTTTAAAGTATTACAAGCTGTAAATCTAGATACTCAGGAGGCTAGGCAGGAGGATCACACATTTGAGGCCAACCTGAGCAATTTAGTGACACCCTATTTCAAAATAAAATAAAAAGGACTGGGGATGTAGCATAGTGGTGGAGCACCTCTGGGCTCAATCTCCAGTATTTTGAGTCCCCATTGTGTGCTAGGCCTTGAGTTGACAGTGTTGGAGTAAAAACAATTACTGCTTTCATTAACTTTATGACTGGGAGGCAGGGAGATTCTCCATGTGACAGGTTTCAAATGACATAAATGCTCCTTAGAAAGGAATAGATTTTTCAACCAAAACGTACCCTATTCCTTCAGGACTTGGGCATTGCCAGGGGGTCCAGGGTGGCCTTACTGAAGACATAAGCTTGCGATGATGACCAGAGGACCATTGGGGCCAGTGGTTCCACTCCAGTGTGAGAAAAGGCTTTGGAGGAACCATGCAGAGGGGGAGGAGAACATTGGATTAGGTGGGAGGAGGGCGAGACCAGACACAACAGGGACTGGGGACGACTTACATGTTTTAGCCCTTTTTTAAAAAGAATAATTGGAAATTGTCAGTGATTTTTGAGCAAAGGATTGGCCTGATCAGATTTGTATTTTGAACTTCTTTTCCCCCTTCATTTTTGCAGTGGTGGGGATCGAAGGTGGGGTCTCACGCATGCTAGGCTAGCTTCTTCCCCAGGCCCCAGATTTATATTTTGAAAGGAACTGAACTTTCTTGGATCACACTTGGTGTATGGACAAGGCAGCAGGCCCAAATTCCTAAGTCTGGGTCCCTGGGGAGAGGGAGACCAGCAGCCTGAAGAGGAGCCTTTGGAGGAGAAGCTGATGGGGGATGGGGGAGATGAGCTGGTTGGAGCTGCTCAGGTGGTAGTGGTGGATGGAGGCTGATGTTATACATGAGAAAAAAGCACGTTCAATCTGACTCAGAGTTCACAAAGCTTTTTCTCCTGTGGTTTCTGCATTTTACATTCATTTCACAACACTCCTGAGAAGCAAACAATGCAAGTATTAGCATTTCTTTTGTACAGATGAAGAGACAGATGTTCAAAGAGATTACATGATTCGCCTCCAAATCACAGACCTGGGTGTCCTTGATTCCACATATCTGCTTCAGTTCCCACTCATCAGAACTTTGACATATTTAAAAAAGAGCTCACTGCCTAGCCGAGACTATCTCCTTCAGAGGAGAACTCTGATGAGGAATCCAGGCTCCAGCTTTGAGTCATCTGATACATTTCCAAAATGCAATTCTGGTTCCTCAGTGAGGATTTACAAGTTTCAACTACCGTTTTTTAACTGTAATATCTAAGGAATGTTGTCTGCAGCATTCCAGTGTCATGCAAGACCTAAAACCTATCGTAAAAATCTCCAGTTTCAATTGAACTTAGTGATGACATAACCGTGGCAGGATTTAAAGAGTCATCAGTCTTCCAGGATTATAAAAAAATCTTCAAGGAAAATCAGCCATAGATTTACTAAAGTAGTCTGGTTAGATTTTTGATAAATTTTCCCATGACAGGTCATCTCTGGAAATGATCATCGTTGGCCCAGATTCTAATAAAGTACTGCAGACCTGAATCTGAAAGTCCTGTGGAGAGTGGGCAAAAGTTAGATTCAACCCAAACATCGGTGCACACTCAGCACCGCGGAAGCTTTTGTGGAAGAGCCGGTCACTTAGAGTATGCAGTGCTTTTAGTTAACCTTGGTTCCTTATATTTGTACGGAGACAGAAGAGTCCACTCTGTTCTGATCATCTCATAAAAGGATGGGGGCAGACCTGGATTCAGGGCCCTCTTTGGCCCATGTAGAGTTGGGGTAAACCCCCCAGTTTCTTCTTCATTGTCCTTCCTCTTTACCCACGGATATTTTTACCTCTTTACCCATGGCAGGCTGTTTGGAGCAGTAGTGGCTAGGGTGAGGAATTGGGCCTTTTAGATACCTGTAGCTCTGCACAGCTCTCAAAAGACAGATATGCATTGTTTCATCTCATGCTGATCATAGGAAGTG